GAATTTCACAGGTGTCACATCTACGTGTGCTGCTTGACAAAGTGACTATTTGATCATTTTTGGGAGAGTTTCAGTGGATTCATTATTTCTTAAATTAATCAACTCAATATTATATGCACTTCATGTAAGAATATATGGAATGAACCACCTTTGCATTCTTTGTTATATGTACCCAAGCAATAGAGTTTTGGGCAAATGTATGATTTGCTTTATTAACCTGTTTCTGGGAAGAATAAAAAACTATAAAATAAAGTCCACACACAGGGCTATGAGGATAATCTATTTTTAAAGCAGACCTCTTTAGTTAGTTAGTTAAATTAGATTTGAGCATGTTAATAATAATTTGTTTAATGAACATTTTGTAGTCATAATTCATATTTTAATTGTAAAATGTTAGAAGAAAATATACTGTATCTTACATATTCTGGACAACTTTTTCCAAGCTATTCAAAGTGTGGCAGTAAACTGTTACATGTTACATGCTGCAAAGTGAGAACCAACCTATAGCAACCCTAATGGGGATTTCAAGGTAAGAGAGATATTTGTTTTACCAGTTCCACGCATATCCTGATGAGTTACCATCGCTGAACAGGAATTTGAACCCTGGTCTCTCTAGTCTTAGTTCATCACTTTATCCACTGCACCACGAGTATCTTAAATCATTCCTAATAAAAGGTTAGTGATAACATTTCCCAAACTTGGATCCTAAAATGTTTGGACTCCAGTTCACATCATTTGCCACACAATCTGTTAGTAATGGGAACTGCTGCCCAAACAAAAATAAACATAGAAATAAATGCCAGATTTGGAAAATCCAACATAAATAATCTGAGAATAATAATCTTAGGACTGCAGAGCTAGAAGGGACCATATGCATCATCAAGTCCAGCCCTGGTCGAGGAGGCACAGTGGGGAACTCCCAAAGAGAATGAAATCTTCTGAAGGAATTTGCCGCAAAGCTTGTGGACTGTTCCTGCTAAACTTCAAGAATGAAATGCTGTTTGGAATGACAAGTCTGTCATTTATCACATTCACTGTGGATCAAAAGCACAGTTGTGTTTCTGTGCATACGTACTTATTAACAGACATCCCAAGCATTTGTTTCAAAGACCATGTGATCACCAATGTGATTGTAATGAAATGAAAGCTTGTTGAAGGAACCAGATGTTTGTGTTCAGTTTCATCTGCTTTCTTGACTGACCTATGTCTCAACTCTACAGGACACTGCAGAGTATATGCTGTGTTCCTGATTTAGGAAAATATTATTTGATCACCTAGGGTACATTAAAGTGCTGTTTCATGCCTTTGACACAGGGTTTGCTATGACATTCCATATACCACAATGACATGTCTAGTCTCTGAAAACTCAGCCAAATCACTGATATGTTTTTTAAGATTAAATTTTAAAAAAATGTTTTATAGCTTCCTGTGCTATCTCTAGTTAATTCTGATTTATTGCCTCATGTGAGGTTTTGCTGAGCGCTTCACTTGGCCTTTTGTTCAGTTCCACCTTCACACTCATTATTCTGCAGCAGTAGGAAAGCTAGGAACAGCTCCTTTCTTCCATTGCAACCTCTAGAATTCCTCAAGAATCATGGCCACTCTGATAAGGTGATCTGAGGACTTGTGATAAAGTAACTTCTTTAAAGTTTGAAGCAGTAGCCACCGCTGGCATTGCAGGCCTGAACCTAGAGAATATTCCCTTTGCTTTCTTGGTGAAGTGCTCTGTTCATTTTTCTATTTTCTAGGATGATGTAGAAGCTGCTGAAACTTCACAGACTTCTACATGTACTATAATGGGAACAGTTGGTGATGATGGGACAGGGTTACTAGTTGACCTGTTATTCAGCTAGGAGCACATCACAATGGTTATCTGGAGACATCAGCTGTGATGCCATGCCTTTCTACTTTACATGGTCTTTGACTGTTTTTCTTTCCCCTCTCCATATATAATGGGGGTTAATAATAAGTCTCCCTTACAGTGATATTGTGAGTATCCCTAAAAAACTGCACATTACAAATTCTGTACATTTGAGAAAAAAATAATATACAAACTAAGGGGCAGGTTATGAATTGGAGCAGGAGAACCTCATCCCCAAGTTTCAAGGGTGGGAACCCCTCTGCCTGTCACAAACATGGTATGGCAAAATCATCGACCAGGTATAGATAATATTGATTTAAATGGGAGAGTCAGGCACATGTTTAAATCTGTCAGTGCAACTTAATTTTCCATCATTATTTTAAGAAAGTAGATCATAATGTGTATTTTTCATCTTGATGACGCTACAATGGGGAATTGCTATTATTCATGTCATGGCTTGCAGAACGCTTGGCCACAATTTGCCATAAATGGTATGAGTGTGCTGCACCAACACTTTTCAAAATGAGGCTGGATTCACAGTAATCAAACTCTAAGTCTGCAATCCTTTATTTATGAGTAGTCGTGAGAGGAAACCAATCCACATCCATTGACGTAACTACGCGATTGCTACAGTAACAACATCCCGTGAAGAAACTGAGCAGGTGTACTCTGCCCGCCATTCATTACAATCCTATGTAAATGGCTTACATGCTGCATCTTTGCATTTTGCAAAGCAGTATTAAAATGAGGGCTGCCCCTTCCTTAAGGAACCATAGCAAATCAATGTTGCTGACCAATGGTTGTAATTAGATGCAATATTCTGCTTATTGATTGGGATGAAAAGCACTTCAAAAATATAGTCGTATGTAATAATACTTCCTGAGAAAAGCAAGACATTGGTTCAAATCAACAATTCATATGCAGCTAGTGTTGTGATCAGTGCCTTGATTGTGACTTCCAACAGAAATACGGCTGGCACCCTCGCTGGGTGTTTTTAAAAGCCAGTTAAAAACTTGGTTATTCAAGCAGGCCTTCCCTCCAGTCAACTAAGTCTCTCTTATTTTTCCTTTCTTATGATATTCCATCCTGGTAATCCTTCCTTAAATTAATTGAAACTGCAATTGTCATTTTTATGATTATGTATATATTTTAAACTGATCCGTTTTATTTTGTAAGCTGCCCCAAGTAGACATGGTCTAGAGGGGCAGGGTAAAAATCCAATAAATAAAATAATAAAATAATTGATTGGGGTAATGACATCCAATGTATCAAGCAAAGTATGCTCTGTAGTTGGAGCAGTCATTTATCTCGAAGTGTATATGCATGCATATTCTGGGGTTTATCTGGACCCATCAATCTAGCTTAATGGGTCTTTTTACTCCTTGTTGTATGTGACTCACAGTACAAGTTTTTAATAACTATGTGCCATCAAGTCAATTTGGATTATGGCAACCTTTTTCAGGATTTTCTAGGTAGAAAATATTCAGAAGTGGTTTACCTTTCCTTACTTCTGGGGGTGCCTTGGGACTTGTGCAGCTTGCCCAAGGCCACACAAGTTGGCTTTACTCACAGGAGGTACAGCAGAGAATCAAACTCCCAACCTCTGGCTGTGCAGCCAAATACCTAAACCACTGAGCTATTTATTCATTTACTATTAAACATAGTAGGCTGGATCCTGAATAATGACAAGTGGATTTCTATTCACAACGGAATAACAGAGTAGCAAGGCAACCTTTGTACAGTGGGGTCTTGACTTGAGAACTTAATCCATATTGGAAGGCGGGTCTCAAGTCAAAAAGTCTGTAGGTCAAGTCTCCATTGACCTACAGTGCATTGAGAACCACCTCTGGCTGTGCAGCCAAATACCTAAACCACTGAGCTATTTATTCATTTACTATTAAACATAGTAGGCTGGATCCTGAATAATGACAAGTGGATTTCTATTCACAACGGAAGAACAGAGTAGCAAGGCAACCTTTGTCCTTCTTCTATTTTCCTGTAGTCCCCTGAAAGTAATACAGTATGAGGTAGAGGGCAGGAAATCTGAAGCAATGTTGTAAAGATTGCCTTCCTTGCGTCCTTTCTCCAGAAGTAACTCTCTGCTAGAACTTAGGTCTTTCCATAAATAAAGAAGCCCTTCTGTTCACAGAACAATCTGCATCCAGACCAGTACGTGGTGCCAATACTTTACTTTCCATAGCACAGGAGTCACTACATTTTTGAGGAAGGGGTTTTCAGGATTTACACAGAACTATTACATTAGTATTCTAACTGCATTTTCTCTTAGGAGCCCTGGGAAGTGCAGGGTGGCCAAAATCCTCTTGCATAGATATGCGGATGACATCATGGGGGAGAATGCCCCACATTAAGAAATCTCTGTAGACATGGTCATTCTGAGTCATACAACTATAATGTCTACAGTGATTTTTTTTAAGTTGTGGCAGTTCGTCTGCAAAAGTTCAGATGTTTGTGCTCATCCAGCATAACTAGGTAAGAGGACTGTGGCCAATAAAATCTAAGGCACTTTCCAGAGTCCTTGTCTAGATTTCTTGGACCATAGTCTAAAAGGAGCTGATAAAAATTTCATCTACCTTCTTTCATATACTCCTGATTTGGATTATGTAAACATATACACAGGACCAAACCCATAGCTCTGGTTATGGGGACTTCATGTGTGCAAGGAGAGCTAGTGCTGAAACTAGGATTTTGAATCACTTCTAATACACAAGCCATACAACACATTTCAACCCAATATGGCACAAATTACGAAGATATTACTCCAAAATGTTTATTGTACAAAAACATTATTTCTAGAAAACAATATAATGCATTTGGCATCACACTTTCTTCAAGATACCTATAGACGTTGCTATAGATAATATTCATGGCGATTCTGAACATATTCAGTCTTATAAAAATAGAATTATTTACAATATGTCCACATACTTAAAACATGTTTTTCAATAAAAAAAGCACTTGGAGGGTATTGCTCATTATATTGCATTTCCTTTGTGCATTTAGGAAGAAAAAAAAGCTTTTGAAAAATCCATAGTCAAACTCCCATAAACCCTCACTCTTGCACTTATTCCCGCTTTAAAAACAAGTTAACAACCACAACAATTACTTTTTTTTTTAAAAAAAAGGAAGCATGTATCAAGCATGCACCTGGAATGTTTGTAGTGACAGATTTACAAAGGCACATACTGTTAAGACAAGGCAAATAACTGGACATACATTCTTTACTTCCTCTTTGAGTGATGTAATATTAAGACACGTCAGGACCCTGATCAAGAAGTATGCTATTCTATCACACACCATCAACTTGTCCTATTGGACATTTATTAACTTGATATGGAAGACTCTAAAAGCACCTGTGGTATTTGGTATCTGGCAACCCCTTTTATATTTGATTGTTTCATCACAAAAGAATATAGTCTGGGTGATTGTTTATGGCTGGAATGCAAATGGTTAACTGTGCAATGCTTTCTCAGAAAAAAGAGGTCCAAAAGGCATTTGGTTTATCCCGTACATTTCATGCTTTCACTTCCTTCTTCATATCACATAAATGTCACACTTAAGTTAATTGAATTATTTTTTTTTATTTTTTTGCACGTTTTAGGGAGTTGCTGAATTGAGAAGAAGAAGATAAGAACACCTTGCGTGGGGGTGGTGCATGGCAGAAAAGGTTCTTCTTATCTTGTTGGAAAGGAGTAGAGAAATGCACAGAACCCAGGTAAACTCAGTGAGCTACACAGCAGCCAGATTCCTCATGTTTGTGCAGAAGAGACATCCGGGAAAAAGTTTTGGAACAATTTTTGCACTGATATTTCTTCACATCCGAATGGGTCTGCAGATGAGCCCTCAAGTTTGACCTGTCTGCAAATGCTCTGTTGCAATGAGGGCATGAAAAGGGCTTCTCTCCTGGAAATAAAAATAAAATAAAATAAGGGGTTTAATAATTCTAAAGCCAAAATAAGAGTGTTTCTGTATAATGGGCCAAATTATATGCCGAGAAGGGAAACATGTCTTTGAATATGGAGATTAGGTTCTAAACTTTATTAAAGGTCCCATTGTTACACTACGGAGAGTCGTTCATTACTTCTTTCTCATCTGAACATGCAAGGAGTCACAATACATAACGTACAAGCTGCTGAAACTTTCTGCTTCAGCAGGTGCAGCCAATGCCTGTAGGTTGGGCTCCACCCCACATTTCCATATGTTCCTTCCATTCATTTATTGTATCCTGTGCAACGCCTTCTGGTGCCCAAGGCTGTACTTTACATGTTGTTGACGTGAATGGCAGAACTCCCATCAGGTTGAATGCGTTAGCATTGCACCCTGCTGCTTTGGAAGAGGGCAAGATTAGAACCAGCAAGAATACTCGGGTGTAATATCACATGCAGAGATGCACAAAATAGAAGAAAAATATCAATAAAAGACTGTAACGAATGAACCAACCAGAAATATCTGTGAGTGCAGTTAGCTTATGCTCTGACCACTCTGCATCTTACTTTGAAGTACATTTTGGGTGTAGAACCAGATCGTCTATGGATCTTGTTCTTCCATACGTATGTATAGGATTGCAGCCTTTGGATTTCATGTGGTGGGGGAATCAGCACCACTAAGTAAATCAGTGTATGTTATTGGCTTTCATTGTTGACACTGATAATTGTCTCTTATTAAGCTGAATGGGAATTCCTCCCAGGTAAACATGCCTAAGACTCATGTGTTGGTTTACAGCATGCAACCCTAACTTGGATTCTTTTCAGCTCCCAAACCTCACTTTCTACAGAAACCAGCTATACAACCAGTAGGGCTTCTGTTTAACACTGCGATTCTACACATGCATGTTTCAGATCAAAAATGCTGTTGACTTCAATGGGATTTCCTCCACGGTAAAGCAGCTTGGATTTGGGACTGATGTCATACATCTGCTAATTGACAGACTGGCTGCTGTATATAAATTTTGTTCAATCCGATCTTACTATTTTGAAGAGTACTCATTTCCAAGCAATGCCTGTCTGGTTAGAAAAGGAACTAGTCCAGCGATTGGGATTACTGAATGCTCTGCCTGAGCACAGTTCTTGACTGTGCAGAATATTACTATGAAATTTTTCCCCCATTTGCTTCCTATTCTTTCTCTGTGTTTTTGTCCTCTGTTTAGTTTCTTGATCTGCCTCTTGTCTGCATGTTTCAAGCAGAGGTAAGGAATTCTTAGGGCCGATGGAGTCCTGTCTTGTGAGAGCTTGCTGTAACACACTAACTTCAGTGAAGTCAAAAAGTGTTACATCAGGACCTAATCTGGCCCTCTCAACAGAGATATAATTAAACAGGAAAGAAGCCTGGTGAATACTTAATGGAGCACACCGGAATGTTAATGCCAGTAACTGAACAATATCAAATTACCCATAAAGTGCACTGAAACACTACAACAATAATCATGAAGTGAATTATTATGGCAATACATGGCATACATGTAACCATCCTCTCCTTCTTACCAGTATGAGTTCTGATATGTCCTTGAAGTAACCAGGGTCTTGAGAAAGCCTTGCCACAGATCTTACAAACACAAGGTAGTGTGTGGGTCCGGATGTGCATCTTAAGAGCTCCGAGGCTCACATATTCCTTGTCACAGTATTTACAGCTGAAAGATTTCCTAGACTGGGCATCACAGTGCAACTGCTTATGCTTGGCCAGTCCAGAAAAAGTTGAATAGGTCTTGTTGCATAAGCTGCATTGGAATTTTTCTGCTTCAATTGCATGGGGATCTGAAAGCTTGGATTGGATCCGCTCTTCTTCATCACTAATTGGGCTCTCAGAACCACTATGATCCTTGGATGAAGTGTCAGAATGAGGAGGCGGACTGACTCTTCCCAAAGATGAAGGATATCCAGGGAGAGGCGAGAGGTCACTGGGTAAGGGAGAAGGCAGCAGCCCTGTTGTAGTCCACATGGTGATGGGGTTATAAGCCACAGAGCTCAGGATCTCCGGCTGTGGAATGATCGGCATTGGGTAACTTTCATAAAGATACGGGGAAATTATCACTGGAGGAAAGGGGGAAAAAGAGAATTGTTTAAGGATGATTGAGATTTTTTTTGGCTTTGTACAGCACCAATGCAACCAATAATCATAAAGTTTGATAGCAATGAAACCATGCTGCCATTAGCTTGCTTCAGTGAGCATTCATGAGCACAGAGGAGCTCATGAATGCAGCTCTCTGTCACTTTATAACTGACTACATAACTTTACACTATGCACCGGTAAACTAGGAGAGCTAGTAAAAGTCACACAGCTCTCCCTACATCATAGCAGCTGGAGATATTCAGCAGAAAAGCGCTCACGATTTGCAACACAGACCCAACGGACTTTTAGGAATGAATCAAAATTCTATAGAGGAAGCTTTAAAACTGATGGCAGGCGCCTGTCTTTACGTGAAAGAAAAGGCACACTCCCCTCCCCCAGTTTGTTACGATTTGCACAGTTGTGTGAAAATCGGCAGGCAAGTCCTACTTCAATAACAAGCACTTAAATAAATAAGTAAATAAGCAAATAAATAAGTAGCAGAGCCCCGCTTCAATACCGATTTCAATCCCCGATTTACCTGTATGAGTGTCCAGTTCACTGTAATTGGGCTTTTTGGAAGAGTTGAAATGTTTCTTGACCAAGAAAGAGCGCGGCATTTTGAAACGCTGGCGGGCTTGGGGAGTTGCCTTGCTTGCCCCTTTTCCTGAAGTTGCCTTTTCCTGGGCAGGATAACGGTCCCGGGCTTTTCCAGAGCAGACCGAGAGACTTTCACTGGGCTAGCAGCACGTTGGTCCTCTCTGCAACATCGCCTCCTCGGCTTCACCCCATGCAGGGAAATTCTGTAGCGCACAGACCGCTTGAAAAGTGCAGTAAACTAAATACCCACCCGTCAGGTGCAGGCGGGGAGGGTCGAGGCTTTCCTGTCCTCCAATCACTTCTGGAGTCGCTCAAGTTATTTTTTTTCCCTCCTTCTCCTTCTCCTTCTTCTTCTTCTTCTTCTTCTTTTTTTTTTTACAAACTCAGCCTGTTTGGCCAGGAAAGGGATTCCTACTCTTCCTTGGAGGAGCTAAGATCTTGGGGTCAGATTTCAACTCCACCCCCTGGGAGAGCCGGGAAGAACAGAGGAAGACTCTCATGTCAGAGGCAAGGCAGGCTGATTTAGCAGTTCTGCCTGCCTGGGGGCTAAGGCAAGAAGGCTAAAAGAGGGATAACTGGATATTTTTTTTTAAAAAAAACTGTGATTCCCCTCCCTCCCTCCCTCCCTGCTTGAGGAGCTGCATCCCACCAAAGGAAAATTATTTATTTCAAGAACAAGCCCTTTTCCCAGATGTGTGATTTGTGAAAATGCAAAGGACAAACTGCTCATTATTACTAGGGGCAAAGAGCAAAGGGTAGAAAGGAAGTCATTTCCAAGACAAATAGGCCACTTTTAAGACACTAATGAGAGAGTCTTTGGCTTCTCATGTGGTGCTTGCTATTTTTGGGAACTGAAGGGGAGTTGAGCTGTGAGATGTTTAATAGATTAAGGAAATATTTAGGGTTTGCCTCCGAAGACCTGGCACTAAGACACCAGAGCTAAAGTTAGCTGTGCTTCAGTTCCACTGAAATAAATTGGGCCAAAGTGGAACTAACCAGGGGAGAAGCCCCAAAGAACTCAAGAGTTGCCGAACCTCTGTGCTGTGAATAAAAAGGCTGCAATGTTTTGCATGCTTACCTGGGAGTAAGTATTGCTGAACACAGTCCGGCTTTGTTTTGAGGAAATGTGCATGGGCTTTTTCAGGGAGGGCTAGTTTCAGGCAGCAAGAATGACACACAAAGTCTTGAGGCACCTTAAAGACTAAGGGATAGTGTTTGGCAGAAGTGGTCATGGACCGTAGCATGTTTCCTTAGAGACATCTGAAGGAAAGGGCTGCAGTTCCACAAAAACTTTGTTCGTTCATTTGTTTTTATGGTGCCACCAGATTTGAGTTGTTTATGCCTGTTTAGGCTCTTGCAAATAATTTTTGCACTTCCTTCCAAGGAAAGCAATTTGCTCCTGGAAATATCCTAACCCAGAATTAAGCCTGGGCAGTTATCCCACCCACCCCTGCCCCATCAGAGAGAATCTTGTAGGAAAGTAGAAAAGAAAAGCAAGAGGAAACTATCTCAGCACAATCAACACCTCCCCCCACCACGTCTTCCTAAAGGAAGTGCTAAGGAAGTAGCCTTCTTTGGCTTCATAGCTCTGGTAACAAGTCTCTTTCTGTTTACTGTAGTTTAAAGCCTCATTCATGGTCCACCTTTGGAGCACCTCCTATTCACTTGACACATTGTGCTTGTTTGCACTGCTTACTCAGCTTCAGCTGCCAAGAAATATACTGTACTGGCATCTAACTTTTTTGAACATCGCAAATACATATCCCCACAGCGTTTAACAATTGATATTAATTCCAACATATTGACACTTTTGAATGTACTTTGTATCTGCTTTTTCTCCTTGCAGCTGTACCTCGGAGTGTGCGGGTAGATCAAGGGATATGTAAAAGGGGAGTATGTATAAAGTGGACGAAGTTTGCTTTCAGACCACCCTGGCCTTGTCTGCAACAGGTGTTGGAATGGAGACATTTTGAAAAAAAAAATACTGTGGTTCTGTTAAGACTTGTAAGAGCAAAGTGCTTTGTCAGGCTGCATACTTCTTTATCTGGGAGATGCCAAAACAAGTGCAGAGGCAAAGTTATCTGCTTTCAGGCAGAGATTCAACTGTTAACAAGCTCCAAGAATTGTGTTTACCCACAGAGAGGTGTTTTTTTTAAAAAAAGAACACCAATGCTGAAGAAACATGAACATTTACCTAATTGGCAAAATGACCCTTTATGTGCTTTTCTGTGTTCCTTCAGTCTGCCTTGCAGCTTGGCTGAATCAAGGCAGTGTGAAAATATAAAGTGTACAGTCCTAGGCATATTTATTATCAGGTAACTGTGCATATAGTGCCAGCTTTTGGTACTATTTTAGGGAGTCTGCTATTTTCCCTCTCATCCTTGAAATCCCAGTATAATTTTTTTTTCACTTCTTTCCTGGATTACCTTTGCTTTATTTTTCTGCATGGCTTGCTCCCCAAGGAATCTCAATGTTTCTTGCTTAAGCTGTATTATTTTACTGTTGTATCGCTCCAAGTATGTTTCAGTTCCCATAAGATCCAGTCAGCATAGCTAATGGTCATGAATGATGAGATGTTGCTATCCAATAACCAGATTCCCATCTCTGGTTTTCGCTCATCTTCAGTCCATATCTTGGGACAAATCCATTCAGAGTGGACTGACGTGGACAGAGTGGATAGCTCTATGGTTTAAGTATCTGGCTGTGGAGTCAGAGGTTCAGAGTTAGGTTTTCCATTGTGTCTCTTTGGCAAGGGCTGGACTTGATAACCCATAGGGCCCCTTCCAGGTCTGCAGTTCTATGATTCCTTAGCTGCATCACATCTGTCTTCACAGCATTTGCCATGTGTTTGGTGCTGAATACACATTAAACAGAAGAATTAATTTTGTTTCTAGAAAACTAAGCAGCACAGTCACTTATTCCTGTCTTGACAGAGGGCGTGAAATTCCTCAACAGCCTATCAGCAATAGCATACATGAATTAAAATATATCAACTGTATGGGGTGCTCAGAATGTTTTCTGGTTGCTAAGTTTCCACAACAATTTGATTTTAAGGAGTCTTGGATCTTTCGGTAGAGAAAATTACTTTGGGATCAAGCCAATATGATGGTTTACTTCATAGGTATCATTCTGGGGGAGTCAGCTACAATAAGTGACACACAACACAGAAATGCTTGTTTTCTCCATTGTCTCATGCCAAATGCACTTACACCAGTACAGCCATGTAGTTATGCCAAAGTGATTTAGACCTCTAGGCTCCAGAAGTCAGATTTCTGTATAAATCATAAAGTCCTGACATGTCAGAGAAGTGATGGAGCTAAAAATGAATGACGTCGGGCACTGGGTGCAAGACATGTTATTACATGGCTTTGAAAGGATATTAGCAGATTGTTACCTGAGTGAGGTTTTCTGTCAAAAGCTGGGTGAGTCTGTATGAGACTTGCATGAGTCATGGTAGACAGGTGTTTAAAGTAAATTCCAAGGACGACTGCTCCCTTGAAGATGGAGAGAGGTGTCATGGTGCCGAAGTGTGAGAACTGATGTGAAAGGAAGATCCACAGCCAAATATAAAACCAAGTTAAAAACAGACTTTTTTTCCCTGATCTCCTGGAGAGACACATGCTCTGTGTGGATTATCAGGCTGTTCTTTTAATTCAGAAGTCAAATATTCCACGAGTATTCCTAAATATTCCTAAAGATCCCAAATGAAGCCATGAATCATTCTATTGGTGGGCTGATTTTAGATGATAGCTGGGGATGTTGTGAAATTTCTCAGCTTTCAGATGGCAGTGAATTCTGCTCTTAGAGATCTTTACAATGGTTTCTTTTGATCCTTTGTTTTTCACCTTTGATGAAGGAAAAGGAAAGGCTGGATTGTAGACTTGAGCTCTGGACCTTGGTGTGGAAAAATGAAATGGCAAAGGCAGCACTAGACCTTGAGGTAAAAAGAGCTGCAGATTCTCCACTTGCTGCATTGATGGTGATTTTTAAAAACACTACAAGCAAGGATGGAACGATCCAATGAATAGTAATGCTCAAGTATTGTTTATTTTAATGCATCAGGGAAAGGGGGAGGGAACAGAAGAGCAAAAACAAATAAATGCATTAAAATAACCACAACAAAATAGCTGTAGGAATTAAAAGAATCAAGAATATGAAGGTAATACCAACCTCAGGCCTCCAAATTTTTTTGGACTACAACTCCCAGAAGCCTTCACCACCACCTCTGCTGGCCAGGATTTCTGGCAGTTGAAGTCCAAGAACATCTGGAGGCCCAAGGTTGGGGACCACTGCTATACATGATACCTAATATTGTATGGATGTGGGGATGCTCCTGAAAATGAATGATTTCCCCCATAATACGCAGGACACCTTTCTCATTTTCGAAAGTAATCTCATAGTGTGTTCCCTGCTCTGCCAGCAGCCGCCAATGCTATGGAGCCAGGGTTGGGGCAGTGTGTCTTGGCCATGGTGTTCGGGCTGTTCATTAAGTATCATCGAAGGGATTCTTAATGTTAAGGGAGAGTACTCAGCACAGAGAAGCAGTTTCTAAAAGTAGGCCTGTGTTGAGCACAATGTCCAGGGTAGCAGCAGCAGCAGCAGCAGTAGTAAAGCATCCAGTTCCAGACCATCCCAAACTTTAGCCTTAACAATTTATTCCTGCCTGTGATAACTGAGAAAGTTCATATTTTTCAGCTTCACCTATCATTTTAATATGTCTCATCTCCTTTCTCTCTTAGATGTAGTAAAGGGACTCAGTTCCCTAGGCTGATATTATCATACATTTGGATACCAACAGATAAGCATGTAACTGATGCTGTTTAGCCATCAGATTTTAAGATTTGATCAGTACAGCTAATATGGAGCTGCGGGGTGGTGGTGGTGCAAATATCCAAATATGCCAGTCTTTGACAATATTATTTAATAATATTAATTACATGTTATTTAAATGCACATACACATGAAATTTAAGAGTTATGTGAACGGTATTTAAATACGTGATGAAATATGTTAGAAGTGTTAGAACTACAAATTGACACTTGCAGTATAATCCTATGTGTGTCGACACAAATAGATCCTATTGTGCTCAGCATGGCTCACTCTCAGGTGAGTATGTATGATAGAAGTTGAGGCAACTTCCAAAGTCCGGGAAACATACATGCCCCAACCCTGCACCTTGGTGAGTCACATAGATTCCTTGGACTATAACACCGAAAGGATGTTTCTCACATACATAGGTAAAGGTAAAGGTTCCCCTTGACAATATGTCCGGTCGTGTCCAACTCTAGGGGGTGGTGCTCATCTCCGTTTCCAACGCATAGAGCTAGTGTTTGTCCAAAGACAATCTTCTGTGGTCA